AATTATATTTTGTACCTTTGAAAAGTGTTGTGGGACTTTTGCAGTGTAGGACAATCTTGTTGTCTGTATTTCTGTAGTTATAATGACATTTTTACTGATCCTATAATTGGTTATGGTCATGGACTAGTGAAATGTTTTTTGTAAAATTACATTTTATTTATACATAATTACATACATATACATATATGTACAAATATATGTATGTATTATCAATAGAGATGCATAAATATACATCCCTAACTAAACTTTTCAGAGACCCAGCAGCTTTTATATTTTTGAGTATTGAATTTTCCCACAGACTTGAGGTAGGATTTTTGCCTCTACCTTTTCATATATGCCAGCCTCCCTGTATGTTCCAGATCCCAATAAATTATCAACTAACATTAATTTTCTGTAAATATAATTTATGTTTGTAGATAAATAATTGGAATAGTTCCCAGAATTTTTGAACAGGTATAGAACACCTGGATACCTCTGTGCACTTTCCGTGACTACTTAGAGTGAAGAGCTTTTCAAAGGACAGAAAGTCATGATAGACCATAAATGCAAGGGTTTCCTTTATAGAAAAAATCTTATTGAATTACGAAAGAATGAAATCAAAAGACTTACAGAGAAAATAGTCTAAGAACCTGTAAAATACGATAGAGAATATTTTTCTATTAATTATACAATTCAGTTGCCAATAATGCTTATCCTACTCAACTATTCATGTCAATTATTAACTGCTATTAACTGTTGAAAATTATTTTTATTTGTGGATTTTTGTTCCTCATCTCATTTCCTGCACTGGGAAATATGGACTTGAGGAGTCCAGATCCAGAGGCAGTGATGGACTTCAAGGCAAAATACTTCACTGTACTTTCTCATCACACTTTAGATATTGTTCCAGTTTCAGAGCTGAGTCTCATAAAAAGTCCCCATCTCTAATTCTGATAATTTTATCTGGCACATAGGGCTTTTTCTCAGTGATCTGTGACATTGCCTCCTTGTCATATTTGATAGATGACCTGAACATGTCAAATTAATGTAACTGATAAATCTTAATGCAAATGCAGGTAAGGATAGTTACATCCTGGAAGGAATAAAAATCTCACTGAGGTGTGGTAAGCATGCTAAATTTAACTGAGAACTCATTACAACAAATAAAGAATCCCATATTGATTTGGAAGGTGCTGTTTTCTCTTAGAATGTAGTTATTATGGAACTGGATACCCAGTTTAAAACTGAACTTAATAGTTGTGGACTTTGTTCAGATTCTGAAATTTGAATAGGATTTTGTAAGATGCTTCTTTACTTGTGGTAGGAAACAGTTTCCAAATTGCCCATTCGTAGTTTTGGATTCCAAAAATCTTCATATTGAAAGAGAATTTTTGGATGCTTCCTTTTTAAAGTTACTCTGTAATTTTTAGGGGACCTAATTACTGCTGCCTTCCCTGGATTCTTTGCTCTAGGTAAACAAACAAACAGACAGAATGATGTAGCTTTCCTCTGAAATTCATTTTCTTTCCTTTCTATACAGATAGAAATAATATGAAGAATATGAATATGTTTCTTACTTAGGCTTAGTGAGAAACAAAAACCTGTTTCCTCAGATATACCTAACAATCAAGCTGGGGTTACTACAGTCAGTTTGCTGTGAAGTGTACATCTAGGTGCCCCTCTGTTGGAAAGAACTCTACCCAAAAAACTCCACACTGCTTCCTTCTTTTTGATATTACAGAAGGTTTAAAAAAACTCAAACAAACAAAAAAACACACAAGAATGGCCCACATTCACTACTTTTATGAGCTACAAAGCAGGGTCAGAACTTTCCTCTGAATTGCCCGCAGTGTTTGCCTTGGGGACTCCCAAGGCCTCCATCAGTTCCTGTAATGCTCCTGCAGCTGCTGGGTAATCAGTGGTTTTTCTGTTTTGAAACAGCCTGCTAAATTTTAACTCCAGAAATGGATATTGTGTCTTTTCACTTAACTACTTGGCTTTCCCCCTACCAAATCAGAAAGAGGCCAATTATTTCATACATGGTCATCCCAAGTCTCCGTTGCTGCCTTTTGAACCCACTAAGAAATTTTCTTCCACATGCAATTAACAGTTGTGTCATAATGCCTTAAACTTTGACCATTCAAATAAGCATCTTGTTTACAATTTTATTAATAGTGTTGCCATAACTATAACTAGTTTAAAAAAATTGATAACATTGTGTTTTAAACCATGAGATAATCTGTGACTATTAGTGGTTTCAGAAAGGGATGATGTTGCAATTGTTCTTTCTATCTTGGTAGGTGTATTTCTTCAGAGTTAAGGAACTTCGGTTTTCATTACACTCAGTAAAAGTGCTGCCTTTTACTCGATACTTTTGCTGTTAGCCACTAAATGCCATTCGCTTCTATGTGTATCTGCTGATATATCAGTCAGTCTTCCTCAAAAAAAACCCAAATCTTTGAAGTCCTTCAAAAGTTTTCTTCTCAACAGGTACTTCTCCAAACTCGGGTTGCTGATGGTTCCTGTTTCAGTAGACATTTTAAGTTTGGGGTTTATATAGAATCCCCAGATTACAATGCCAAGATATAAACTGTAATATCTTTTACTCCTTACATGGTGCAGCTACCTAGACATAGTGGAAGTCAGACAGTTGGTTTTACTGTATGCTGTCCATAAGGTCTCCTTAGGTGTGCAATTCTTCAGCTATGGGAGGAAGAGTGGAGAGAGGGTGCAGAGGAGGATATCAGCTGCGGAGCACAGCTGCATTCAACTCTGCCTGGGCCCTGATGCCTTCTGAAGTGCAGAAGAAGTCAGAGTGACTAAAGGACTGCTTTTTAATTCTAGGAAATAAGAACGAGGTGGGACAGCTAATGTTAATTTATTGATGCACAGGATTTTCGGTCCTAAAACCACTTTGTCATACTTTTAAACCTACGGTTAACACATAAAAAAAGTTACATGAAAGGCCAAGAAATCAGAAACAAGAGCAAGCATTTTCTCATATAAAAATTGAATGATTTTTAAAGACAAAAATAAATAAATTCTGAGTTGATTAATGTGGTATCGGTATGTGAGAATGTGCTTGTCTTTCCTGCAGTTGAGAAAACAGGGATAGGGAGAAATGCAAAGTAGCAAAGAGGTGAAGAAAAGTATTTCATTGCTATTGTTAGGAGATTGCTTGTTAAAAAAGGAACGTCTCCCATTCACAGGTGCTTAGAGCTGAAACCTATTACCCTAGACCTTGTCATTTTGGAAAGATATTTATTTGACCTAATAGGCTTGTTTCAGCAGATACTTGTGGGAAGACTCTCCTCCTTTCTTATACTGCAGGCGACAGTATAATCAGGAAAGGCTGAGAGAGCATAGGAGAAATGTGATGGGCAAAAGAAAACAGGAGTAGACAGAATGGAAACCCCCATGCTTCGGTCTGAGATTTCACTGACTCATTGTTGAAGGCCAGCTGCCTTCTGGATTGCCTTTCTGCAATCTGGTGATTTCAGCAATGGAAGAAAAAAAGTCTGTTAAGATAGTCTTTTGCTAGGGAATTATGAAGTAGAATTTAGTCCACTTTTAATGGTTCCATGGTGGTGGATGTTTTGGAATATTCTTACTTAGTCCCAAATTCAGCTCCAATAGTAATATCCATCCATAGTTTGTTTAGAAGTGTAGAATGTACCTCAGTCCCTGAGTTCCATTAAATGTCTTTGTTTGAACTGAATTGATATTTCTGTCTTTTTTTGGTCTTGCTTGTAAACTTATGAGTTTTTATTGCATTTTTATCTAATTCCTATACTGGAATTCAGTATCAGTATAGGTTTGTAGGGCTCTAGTCAATACTAGAGTTCCTCCAGAACTGGGCAGCTGGATTTGGGCTGCCAGCGCCCAACTCATTTATACAAGTTATTTGCAGAGTCCTTTCTTTCAAAACTCTCCAAAACAGGCCAAGGGTGGGCTGCAGAGCAGGCTACTTGCCTTTGATGATCAGACGCAGCCTGTGGACTTTCTGTTATGTGCTTTGATGTCAAGGTTATTCAAAACATATTTTTGGAAGGTGTGTGAGAATCTGGCTATATAGCCAGGAATTCAAATAAAAGCTATGGGAGACTGGCAGCACTTAGGTGATATTCTTGTATCCTCATTACAACTTTGGAGGCATCCTGATAGAGTTACAGCAGAACCCACATTAAATTGACTCAATGATATAAACTCAATTCAGGTATTAACTGTCCCCTCCTGTATCACGCTTCTGTCTTTGAACACAAATTCAGGGGACAAAAAAAATCAAATGCTGCAAAATCGACATGTGTGCTGAGTTGGCGTCACCCACGCAACATAGCTGTATCTCTTTCTGAAAATGTTACAGTGCATCATGAAAAAATAAATATTACTTTTTTGGCTTTTCTGCTTCCCAGTTAATTTATCTTCTTAAATAATCCTGATAGTCTTAGTCTTTTCAAAACACAATATGATTTATTTTCTGTGAAGCAATTTTTGTGAAAATGATGATATTTTATCATATTTTAAATTAAAAAGCAGGAATTTGCCAGTATTTGTTTGTTGAGTTTCTGTAACTGAAATATCTAAGAAAATATACATGATAATCTAATTATTATCCTGACACTTTGTATAATGCAACAATTAAACCTCCTCAATTATCATTCAGCTATTCCAATGGTATAGAAATGTGTGAAGGAACTCAAACAGAGGTAAAAGAAAACAAGGTCTTCGAGGTTATCAAAGCTAAAATGCTTTTATTTATTATTTTAAAACAGAAGAATATATAATTTTTATTTTATAATTAGAAAAAAGGCAGTGTTTAAATACTGTCAGGTCTGAGTACCAAAACAATTGAAGCTAGCAAATGTGAAATAAATGCAATGCTGTCTTTTTTTCTCACAGTGGTATTAAAAAAAGAGAAAGCTGAAGCACATCATGGAACAGGGAGAAGCAACACTCAAATCATGGTAAACAAAGTGAAGTGATATTCAGGAAAAAATGAAGCAATAAATAAACAGTTGCAAAATCAATTTGATCTTTTAAAAAATGTGTTGTCTGAGTTTCTTGGGGAAATATTCAGATGGGTTGTAAGCTTTGGATTAGTAGCTTTAAATGGCAAAGCTGACAATCCCATTAGTCCTGGGTGCTCTAAATTGAAGGAAGAAAAGAAAAGCCTATGCTGAATATTTCAATGTGTATGGGATCATTAAAAAGTAGAGATAAAAGAAGAGTCAGTGAATGGGGAAAGAAGCCATGGGAGATAAGGCTAATTCCAATTTTATAAATTAAAATACTGTTCACTAAAGTTAGAAAGAAAAGGCCTGTTGCTGCCCTATGGTACACAATACTCTTCAATATGCATTTTGTAAATGTAGGCACTTCACTGGAAATTTCTCTCATGCATGATATATGAAGATGTGCAATTATAGGAGATCAATCATGAACATTGATACTGGAACAAAACCTTCTGAAATGCATTTATATTCATGTATATATTGTATAAGACATCATATCCTGGATTTCATACCTGGCTTGTCTTATGGCTAAAATACTATAAAATGAATTTTTTAAATCTTCTGTTTATTTAAATCTTATGGTAGAGGCCTCAGTTTCTGACAGTTTCTCACTTGTGTGGTTGGCATATTTCTATGACATGGTCCAGTCCTGGAAGATATGTTATCATAAATCCCTTGCAGAGGCCCAATTTAAATTTTCAACCATGTTTACTTAGTGTGATTATTCAGTCAGTGAGTTCAGTTCAGTCACTGGACAAAAAGTCCATGTTCCTTTCAAAGTACACATGGCTTATCTACAGTTCAATTTTCTGACACGGGCAGGACCTTGATGGAGATGACAGGTGGTGCTCAATGGGTTTGATCATCATCCATGCAAACTTGCATAGGCGTTGCTTGTTGCAGTCTTTTTGCCAGTATATCATGTTCCTACGGTTTAGATTTGCTCCAGCACACGCGTCGTACCACCAGCCTCCCCCAGGAATGTCATTGAGTTCCAGTTTAGCACAATTCAGAAAGTAATTGTCATTGTCTCTGTCCTTGGTGGTGAACTTCTGGTTGTCATGGAGATAGGCTTCTGTGTCCAGGGTCAGCGCATCAGTGGCATTACCTTTGTATAGACCGACCCTAATGCGGTATTGAGATTCCTCACCTTCAATAAGGAATGGTTCATACTGTCCCCATTTAATTTCAGCATTTAGGTTTACAAGTTTAACTCCAAGTATATATTGCACAGAGCTGCTAGTTAACTGATGCATATATTCATTTCCTAACCAGTGGTTCTCATGAACAGAGCCAAATCCATATTTGTAGTCCTGCCAGGTCCTGTCAAAGTCGACAGTACTGTTGGCAGTAATGTGCTGGATTATTGTCCAGCCACCATCCTGCATGTTACAAGAGACAACAATAGGGTCCTCTTTTGGTTGGATGATGTAAAGACCATCTCTGGAATTTCCTTTGGAGCGCTGAAAAATCTCAAAACAATCTCTTGGATAGTCTGAGAAAAAAAAAAATTAAAGTGAATTTCTGCTCAAATAATGAATTTTAGAATTTGAACTCTGTCCTTTAGAGTGAGCGAATGATTGTCTTCTGATTGGAAGCTGACTCTGACTTCATCCCAGATGGTTGGCACTCACTCAGCTAAAGAGGGAAGACTTCAGGACAGAAGATGCAGCAAATGTTCAGATATTCAAAAAAAGGTTTGTTACCCTGTGATACAACAAAAGTGGTATTGTATGGTCTCATGACCAAGAGATCAAAAGTACACTAAACAGTCTGGTTAGTATAAAAAGCAAACAAACAAAAATGACAACAAAAAAAAGTGCCCCCAACTTTCTGGAAAGAGAAGGGGACCATGAATGACTATTTTATCTACTACTGGTCCTGTAGGGAATTATACAGTCTTCTCACAGAATAATTAAATTTCTTCTCTTCCAACTGAAAGGCACTGTAGACTTCACAAACTGTCACTACTCTGATAGAAATCCTCATCTAGTTCCCAATCTAATTTTAATGACTTCCACTGTCCATCTTCCTTTCTTTAGTAGTATTCTTTAGTTAAATAAGTGCTTCTTCCTGTGTAATAAGCCCCCATGTACCATGACAAAGCTTATATTTTTAATAAGTCTTTGTTTTGTTAGGGTAAGTTGTTAGGGTAATTAATTTCTTTTATTATTTCATGTAAGATAAATCTTCAGTTCCTTATTTGTCTTAGTAGCTTTCCTGCATCTCTTCACTGGATAATCTCCTAGAATGTGGGTATAATTTGCACACAGTATTGCAGATGACCTTATACGGTGACACTGATTCTTTCAAAGTCTTACTAAAACATCGTTGTTGGTATTTTCTAGGATTGCATTTGTATTGCTTAGTTTCCTTTAAGCTGGAGTTTTGTTCTTTGAAACTGGTAAGGTCCTCACCTTGCAGTAAAACCACCCTGCAGTAAAACCTAAAATTTTGTACTTTATTTTTCGTCTCAGTGGTATTACTTAAGAACATCTGTGGGATTTTCTACATAATATTCCTACTTTTTGTATTTGCATTTCTCTCCTTCATGATATCATTAAATTCTATCATCATATTCCTATTTCTGCATTGGTATACTCCATAAGAATAGTGAAAAGATAACTAATTAGCAAATACTTCCAGTCTCACCTTGACTTTATGGCTTACTTTTCTACCCAACTCATTTTCATTTTCTTTTCAATCTCAGTGTAACGCTACCATCTCTGATTTAATATTGTATTGTATCATAGGTTTTGTAGAAATCTAGATGGACTAAACCTGTTAAATAATTATTCAATATAGTCTTTTATATTTGATATTCGGAAGTTTATTGATACTTCTAAGCCACTCAAGACAGATTTACAGGAGTATATAGGCTTTCTGAGGTCTTAAGTTTTCTGCCTTTCATTTCCTAGTAGAATCTACAGCCATGAATAGAAGAAATTTAAATCTCAATACTATCTGCATGACATTATTAAATATCCTGAAAGAGCAGACCTGTGTACACAGCTCTGTACCCCAGTTGTTAGAACATTTGCCTGGTAGACATTGCCTGCCTGCCTCCAAACCTGATCCCATGATTTTATAGAAGGATTATTTAAGTTATGTATATAGTTATGTCCAAGTCAGTGATATACACAGTGACACTTGTATTTACCCCCTCAGTGAACATTATAGAACAATTTCTGTCGACAGATAATGAGAACATTTTTTAGGCTGATTGTTATAGACAATAAGATTAATTTGGAAAGTAAATTTTATAAACCCCAAAGTGCCATTAGTCTGGGGATGAAAATGAATCAATCCCACTACTCTTTGTGTACATTTTATGTGGGATCTACTCTGGTAAATGTATTAAAAGTGTACCAAGCTGGATTTTGAAAGCTACATAGGCAGAGGGTTACCTCAATTATAGGTACCAATGGGATCTAGGTATCGAGATGTAAGAAGTAGTCTGGGTATGATTGTTCTAAGAATAAGTCTTCAAATGTCACAGAATTTTATTTAAAAATATGAACAAACAAACAAACAAAACCAAACAAGCCCCACAAACAAAACAACAACAAAACAAACCAGAGAAAACCAACAATGTGTTGATTTCTCTTGAATTAGATGGCTGCAAAGTAAGGTTTTTAAAGATTTGGGACTTTGCGGCAGGACATGTTCATGTTGCAAACTATTTTTTCAGGGCTAACTTTCAAATATGTGAGCTGAAAATGTTACAACAAAGCAATAAAGTAAAACACAGCATGCATCTAAATCTCTCAACTGTCTTTGTGAGTACCTTTTTCATTGGCATTACCCAGTCTCTCAGAGTCTCTCTTGGGGAGAAGGTGGGCATTAGCCAGGACCACTGCCTCTTTGGTGCTCAGTGACACAGTGCATTGAGAGAGCAAGAACAGCATAAATCCTGCTGAGCTTGTCGACATCTTCCTTCTGAGTCAGTTCTCCTGCAGAAATACAGAACTGTAACACAGATCAGAGCTGAAAATGGAAATATTTAGGACTTTTAGTGTGGAAGTCCTGAAGGAGAAAGGCTTTGAAATACCTAGCTTCAAAATAGCAGGCCTCTGTCAAAATTGGCTTCTTCCATCTTTGAGGTACCTTTCCTTTCCTGGTGTCTCACACCCCATTTCTGACTAGTCATTCCCGTGACACAGAGAACTGTGCTGCCACACTTAGAACATCTCTCAACTCTGTCACCTTGTGCCACGCTGGGCAATGAAAAAAGCCATTGAGAGTAATGTAATGACAAAAGAAAAAGCACATCTTATATTTATCAGAGTTGAATTTCTTATTCCCTGAGTCCAAACTACAGTGAAGGAGAGACCAATGGTCGAATTGGCAGAAACAGTAACATTATCTCTGCTGACTGTCTGTAGCTCAAACAGTACTCAAAGACATGGTTTTCCTAATGCTGGGAATGTTTCCATGCACTGGAAAACTCACTTAAGCACATCTGAACTATGCTTTTTGTGAATTTCTATCTACAGGTTTAAATAATAGGTCACAGGTTTAAATCAGATTAAAAACCCAAAAGTTCAATAAACAAATCAAAAAGAACTTTCTTTTAGCCTCTCCAAAATCAAGAGTGCAATATATTGAATTAAAACAGCTTTGAGCCTCATTTTATCCACCTTTTGGGGTACAGAACTTATAACCCTCCATCTGATACAGCAAGAAGTCTTAGGCTATTACTAGAGTAAATCCTGCAGTCCTCACTTAGGCAAATCCCAGATTCTCTGAAGAGGAGTTTCTGTATCAATGACAGTTTAGACTGAATCAGGATAACGAATGTTTCCTATATTCTCAAAGGACACATTTACTTAGTCTCTAGCCGAACTTTTTTAACTTTTTAATTTTTTTTTTAATTTAATTTTTAAGGACTGGGCTCCCTACAGTGACTTTGATGAAGGCAGAAAACAGATCCAGCAAACAGCTCTTCAGTCAGAGCTTATTTCCTGCCAGTGTCAGCACACAGTCTGCAGAGGCCAGTATCCTCTGCAGTGGCTTATGTTGCAACAAGACCACATTCCTTATAAATCTAATGACTTAGCAGCAGATTCAGTAAACAGTTTTCCAGAATGAAAAAATATTCAGCACATTTTTAAAAAAAATATTCAAGATAAATCAACATAATAAAGCTCAGGTTTGAGACTTAAGTTTTATACCTACCATAGAAAACACCAGCAAAACAGAATTTTCTACTCTACCTAAAACTATTCAGTAATAACTATGATTTACTATTAGCATATAATTTGCTATTTTATGCAAAGTTGGTCATTTGACATTAGGATCATAATAAATAGGAAAATTACCTTCCATGAAATTTGGCATAGTGCTTCCCTTAAAGCATTTAAGTTTGCTGTGCCTGTATTTCCTACTGTCATGTATCATTTTCCCTGAAAGCTTCTATTATTATTGCTATTACTAACTATTAAATTTTAAATTACTTGAAATCAAAACTTAACCCCCAAGCATAATTAAACTTCATGAAATTTGACCTTCAACCGGGAGTTATTTTTTTAACTGTTTCATCTTTCTTTTAGCATTTTTGAATGAGTCAGTCTTTTCTTTTTTCACGCATATTTACACATTGAAGTTATTTACATATCTGTTTAATTCCAGAATAGAATTTGATATTATAAATTATTAAGAAATCACCCAAAGAAAACAGCCCTGGGCATGCATCTTACCTCTTTGAAGTGAAGACTGGCAAGGAAGAACACAAGTAAATGAGCTCACTCTCTACAGTTGTACTTTGCCTGCTACTTAAGTCCAAGTGAATAAATCAGCTCCAACATGCTATCACAAATGCAGCAAAACTGCATATTCCTTATTTCACACTGTGCTTATTCTGCTGGACTTTGCTCTGACATATTACACTTGCAAGTATGTATGTATGAATTATAAAGTACAAAGTTCTTCCATAATGATTAAAATGACATAGTTACTAAATTATATTTCCTTGGTTAATCAACAGGCACAGTGATGGAGAACCATGAAGAAGTTTCAGTTCAGTAGATTATTTATGTTGCTTAAATAGACACAGGCAGATGCTCATTTTGCACAGATGTCATTTTGCACAGATGAATTAACTAGAAGCTGTACTGCTAGCCACATTTAAATTGCATAGAGACAACTTTATTTTTAATTATTAGGAACAATCCAACCATAAACTATGTTGTTACTTCATGTTTTAATGTGAATGAATCAGAAGCAGTGTCTCAGAGCTCTAAAAATAAAGAAAACAAAAGCAGAACAGGCTGGTCAACAGGTTTGTATTTGAGTTTATGTGGATTAACAATAATTAATTAACATTAATTCAGGTCACAACTATAATGAATTAAATGAATTAATTGTTGCTATGGATCTGAAAGTTGTACTGTCTGTCTGCATGGCCTTTAGATGGTGTCTAATATAGCATTTGCCCTTTAAAGATGAGCCAACACTTAAGTTTTTGAGCTCCTTGATCTTCTCTGGAACCCACTCTGATCAGATTCCATCCTTGAAACAAACCACAATTAAAACTGATGGAACATTTAAGTCCTGTGCAACCTCTACTTCAGGATTCATATCAAATCATAATCTCTTCTTCAATACTTCATCCTCAGTGAGGATCCCCATGTGAGGATTTGTATTTATGTACAAATAAATAAATACCCCTAGAAAATGTTTTAAGAAATATTTGCTTGTAACATTTAAAAATCAGTGATATTTTTCTTCCCTTTTAAAGTACAAGCAATGCTTTATTATACAGGAGGATGGCCACAGAGAGTCAGAACAGTATCTTCTCTCTGTCACTGGTCAGTAGCAGAGCTACTCTGCTTTTAGCATTATGAAGCTCAGGGAATTTCTGATATCTGTGTGTTTGACAATATGTTATGTATGGTTAGTACCAAGTTTTACAAGCCTTGCAAAGGCCTGAAAATATTGTATGGTAGATTATGAAATAATAAAATTGCTTTGAACAGATAAAGATCTTCGTGAAATAGTATGCTAAGAAAAGGCAGAGGAGCCTTTCCACTCTGCCCATATTGATACACTCTGAAAAACACCATTGCCTCTAGTGTTGTTTATTGATAGGCCTCTCATCACCCTGATATAAACTGGGGTACATCTTTGTTTTGTGCCTTTTATTCCCATATATTCCATCACTGTTTATCTCCTCCCCCATCTTTCCATTTTTCTTTACCTTCTTGCAGTTTGCTTCTTTGTTGACTTCCAAACTTTCATCTGAGCTGGTAGAGCAGAAGTGAAGTGGGAAGTGTTTAATTAGAAGAGAGAAGAAAGGGCATCAGCATTCATTCACTCATGCTCAGGAAAAGCATCTATTTCTGTAGCTGAAAACTTTGAAAAAACAACTAAATCTTTACATATTTCTCTCTGCTCTTGATTCTGAGAATAATTTTTTGCCCTGAAAATTATATAATGATCTTAAGGTCAGACTACTTTACATTAGTATGGCTTGGTCATATACAGATTTCAAAATAATGCATTGCTATGACTTATTTTTAGCCATGTTAATTAAAATACTTAGTTTCCTAGCCCAATGACCACATATTCCTTCTGTACAATATACTGAAGTTTTAATTATCCTTCTAATTCTACTCAGCTTTAACTGGCAAACATTCATCTGATTTTTTTCAATTCAAGCTCTTCTATGTGAAAAGACTCTTTACAAGTTCTCTGTAATTCTATGGCCCACTGATCCAGCCTGTTCAGATCCCTCTGCAGAGCCTTCCTGCCCTCCAGCAGATCAACACTCCCACCTAACTTGATGTCATCTGCAGACTTACTGGGGGTGCACTCAACACCCTAGTTCAGATCATTGATAAAGACATTAAACAGGACTTGCCCCAAAACTGAGCCCCAGGGAACACCACTGGTGACCAGCCACCAAGTGGAGGTAGCACCATTCACCACCACTCTCTGGGCCAGGTATTCAGCCAGCTTTTTATCCAGCAAAGACTACACCCATCCAAATCACGGGAATCCAGTTTCTCCAGGAGAATGCTGTGGGAAACTGTGTCAATGGCTTTACTAGAGTCCATGTAGACAACATCTGCAGCCTTTCCCTCCTACAACTGAGTGGGTCACCTTTTCATAAAAGGAGATCAGGTTGGTTAAACAGGACCTGCATTTCACAACCCATGCTGCCTGGGCTTGATCCCCTGGTTGTCCTTTTGTGTGTTGTGTGATGGCACTCAAAATGACCTTCTATGCCACAACCTTCCCCAGCACCGAGGTCAGGCTGACAGGCCTGTAGATCCCTGGCTTCTCTTTCTGGTCTTTCCTGTAGATAGGTGTTGCATTTGACCTCCCTGGTTAGCCAGGACTGCTGGTGAATGACAGACAGTGACTCAGGGACCTCTTCAGCCAGCTCCTTCAGTACCCTCCTGTGAACCCCACCTGGTCCCATAGACTTGAGTTTAACTAAGTTTATCTATAGCAGGTCACTGAGCATTTGCTCTTGGATTATGGGGGCTTCATTCTGCTCCCTGTTCCTCTCTTCCAGCTCATAGGGCTGAGTACCCCGAAAAAACCCGATCTTGCTATTAATTTGCCACTGAGGCAAGGAAGGCTTTAAGCACCTCAGTCTTTTCCTCACTCCTTGTCACTCTTTACCCCCACATCCAATAAAGGATGGGGATTATCCTCAGCTATTTTGCTGGTAATGTATTTACAGAAATAGTTTTTATTTATTTATTTTGTTACAGTCTTCTAGGGCACTAGTCAGATTAAATTCTGGTTGGGCTTTGACCCTTCTGTTTATATCCCTGCATAACCTTACATCACCCTTGTAGTTCTCCCAAATTTCCTGCTTCTTCTTTCAAAGGTCATAAAATCTCCTTTTTTTCCCTGAGTTCCAGCCCAATCTGTCCGTTCAGCCAGGTCTTCCTTGCCACCTAACCTTTTGGCACATGGGGATGGCCTGCTCCTTCACCTTCTTGAAGAATGTCCAGCCTTCCTAGACTTCCTTGCT